ATTTTGTTAAAGATTTTCTTAAATTATTTTAAGCGTATATCCTGCATCAGCTTTTTCTCGGACAATACTACTTTATCGAGAATTCTGCTAAAGTGACTACTTCCCATCCTGGCTATGGTTCCATCCTGGCTATGGTGTTAACATGTCATCAATAATGAACATGTGTACCGGATAAGAACAAAGTCTTCTCTCCATGATTCCTTGACTCCTGCACCAGGTCCGCACACGACTTGGCAGAAGCAACGACATTCTTGCCAACATGACTGTGTGGTCTAAACCATATATTTCAAAATTTTGCAGTCAAAACTGTTAACCACTCCAGTAGAGAGTTTGTTGTTTTTGTTAAAGCCGGGCTTCTGTTTGAAGCCAACACAAACTAAGCAGTCAAGGGCTTGCAGTCCATTGAAAGACTGACTGGTTTATTGCAACGAACTTATATCCTCCGGAACCACATAAAAGTAACTAAACTTGTGTGCCCAAAGGTAAAACTATGATCTCCATGTTCACCAACACACGCACGCATGTATGTGTGTGTGATTGTTTATCTTTGAGTGAGCGAATGTGTGCAGTTTTGAGTTTGTAATATTATTATGTCAAAGCGTATTTGCCGGCACAACATGTCTAATGCATATTTTTGGGCCAGAGAGTGTAACAACCTTTGGCGTAGTTTTTTTGTTGGAATTTTACAAAATAGCAACAACAAGAAGAGCCGCAGCATTGGAGTAGTAACAAACATCCGCACATGAAAGGTGATACAAAATCATTCAATGTCCCTGGATGCTTTAGATGAAATTGTTATTACAAACTCGACTATGTCCTTGTTGTTGTTGTTGTTGACACACACACGCACCCACTTACATTGCTTTCAACACATCCTGGAGCCTTTGACCAAAAACGTCCATATTGTGTGGTGATACCTAGGAGAGAGGGAGAGAATGTGCGTATATGTCACATGGGATTCGGTCTGTATGTGTCATATGGGATTCGGTCTGTTTGAGCACTCCTCCACCAGACAACTGATCTTTGTACGGCTCCACTCAAAACGCTTGCTATTTCTATTACACGTTATCAACATTGATTGGCAGACAGTGTTTGCACGCACTTTTTTCGAAAAAAAAGAAAATCTATTTTTAGACATTCCCAGCAGCTAAGGGCTTTTAAGGCACCAACCGACAACATAAAGTGATTCTGAAGTGCTAAAGGTACAATAAAGTCATAAGATATGAAAGGGAAGCAGACCGAAGCCGATAGTGGTAGTTGTGAAATGTTGCGCTTGTTGTTGAATGGGACAAAATAAGTTGTTGCGTTTTATGGACGAGATTGTTTGTAGAAAAGAAACGGAATATGGTGAATTAAACAAAGGAAGATTTAAGTCCAGGATATAAAGGTTTCAGAATATTTCAGGGAAAAAACCAAACACATAAAATAATGGACATCACTTGACAATTGACCTGACTCAGCATTATCTCCGAGATATAGGTCCTGACTATACATTATCTTAAAGATAATAGTCCTGACCGGACATTATCTCGGAGACAATGTTCCTGACCACACATCATTCAATGTCTCTGGGTGCAGCACATTAGCTCCTGACCACATATAAACTCAGAAGAAAATGATCCTGACATGAACCGATTACAATCATTATTTCAGAGATATTGTCCTGTCAGAACTCTTACATCATGTTTTCTAAGACAATAGCTGGTACAAATCATTAAAATTGAGGTATTGAATCAGGATCTGAGATAATGGACATAACCGTACATAACAACAATAGAAAATACCGATTATTATTTCAGAGGTAATGATCCCGTCTGGTTATTATCTCAGAGATAATAATCAAAAGCCGGTTATTTTCTATGAGATAATGGCCCTAGCCTAATGGCTCCTTATCCGCCATTATCTCGTAAAACATGGTCCTGACTCAACATTAACTCAGGGATTACACATTATCCCGGGCTTGATCCGCCATTACCTCAAAGATAATGATCCTGAGCGACCTTTACCTCAAGATAATGATCCTAAACGGCCGTTATCTCAGAGATAACATTCCTGATCTCACGTTAACTCATTTACCACACATTATTTCAGAGAATGGTCCCTAACTGCCATAAACTCAGATAATGGTCTCCACCGGTCATTATCTCGGAGATAATGGACCTTTGGTGGTATTATCTCAGATAATGGTCTCCGCCGGTCATAATAGCCCTTTCCAGCCGGAAAGTGGTCTCTACTGGTTTCTCTGAGAAATAATGGTCTTTACCGGCCATTATCTAAAAGAAAATGGTCTATGCCCGCCATTATCTCAGATAATGGTCCATGCGGTCATTATCCCTGAGCTAATGGTCTCCACCGGCGATAATCTTAGAGATAATGGTCCTGACTGGTGCACATCTCAAAGATTACATTCCAAACTCAACATTAACTCAGTGATCTCACATTATCTCAATGATAATGGTCCTTGTCGGTCATTATCTGAGAAAGTGATCTCCACCGGCCATTATCTCAAAGATAATGGTCCATACCGTCCATTATTTCAGAGATAAAGTTCCTTAAAAACCATTATCTCAGATATAACGGTTTCTACCCACCATTGTCTCAGAAATAATGGTATCTACCGGCCATTACCTTAGAGATAAAGGTCTACAGGACATTATCTCAGGTTATTAAAGGTCATTATCTCAGAGATAATTGTCCTTACCGGCCATTACCTCCGTAATATAATAGTCACGGGACATTACCTAAGAGATAACGGTCTTGATCGGACATTATATCAGAGAAAATTGTCCTGAACGGACATAATCTCAGAGGTTATAGTTCTATAAAGAAATGTCTCTGTCATTATCTCAGAGATAATAAATCTTACTGTCCATTATCTCAAATATAAAAGAAAACATTCCTTAATCACCATTAACTCAGAGACTACACATTATCTCAGAGGTAGTAGTCCTTACCGGCAATAGCCTCAGAGAAAATTGTCCGTTCCGGACATTATCTCATTGATAATAATCTTTAACGGCCATTAACTCAGAGATAAAGTTCCACTGTCTCAGTGATAATGGTTTCTACCGGCCATTATCTCAGAGATAATGGTTTCTACCGGCCATTATCTCAGACATAATGGTCTCTACCTGCCATTGTCTTGTAGATAATGGTCTGGACCGAATAATATCCCCAGAGAAAATCGTCCTGAGCGGTTTTCTCTCAGAGGTTATTCTCCTGTAAAATCATTATCTCAAACATAATGCCCTATTTCTTAAAGATATTGATCCTGACGAGCAATTATCCTAGATTATCGTATTATAGTTCCAATGGGATAATAATGGTCATGAACGTCAGTTACCTCGGAGATTATATCCCTGACCAGCCATCGTTTTACTGAGAACGACCATACCATATAGGCTCCTTTTCTATGAGACAAAGAAAGCTTAGACTCATTGAGACTGAGATAATATCGGACGAGGTACTTTATCTGTAAGATAAAATCTTGATTTCCCTATTATGTCTGAGGCTAATTTTCTCCGAGGTATTGGGCCGCTAAGTCCATTATATCTGCAATAATGAGCAATGAGTTCAATTATTTCCAAAAGAAGGTCATGTTAGGTCAACACTGGTTATAATCTTTTAGATAAAGGCAGATTAGTTTAATTATCTGTAAGTAATAACGGACATTTAGCTCCATTTTCATAGATATACCACCCGTTGAGAACAGTTATCCCTGAGATTTTTGTTGACCATTTCTTTTGAGATAATGACAAGCACTTATATATGAGATAATATGGAGTTGGGTCCAGTGTCTCTGAAATACTGGGTGATTTTTCCATTAGTCCCGATGTAATTATTTATTAGAGCTGTTATCTCTCACATAGACGATTATGCCTATTGTCATTGAGATCATGCCCATTTTGGCTGTTACTTTTGAGATAATAGGCAGTTGTGTCCATTATCTTCAAGATGATGACAAATAAAGGTCATTGAGTCTGAAATATTGAAAATATGTGTCGATTGTTCTGAGATAATGTCAGGCTATGTACCTAAATTCTGTAGTAGGTTGCTGGGTCCATTATCTCTGAGCTGAAGGTCGGTTGGGGTCCATTTCCTCGGGAAAAATGTAAAATCAATTCCATTCTATCTCAAATAATGGGTGAGCAAGTCTAATGTCTCAGATATAATAACTGCTAAAGGCCGAGATTATCATTAAATGACATTATCTCTAAAAATTATCTTCGCAATTGTTTAAATAAAATTTCCCTAAACTCAATTTCTTTTCGATATTCTTAAAGCAATCAGCAACAAAGTTTCCCACACCGTTTAAATCTCAAACTCACATTATCTGCATCTTTTGTTGCTTTAATTTTCTGCTGTCTCTGTTATGCGCCCCTCCTCAATTTAATAAAAAGTAATTGGCTTATTTAAGTTTCAATTAATATTGTAACTTTTCATGCTGTCAACCTTTACGATTAAATTCTTAATTAGCTAAACTAGGCAGACAAATAACTTTGTCGTTATCACACACCCAAATTTCGCCGTACAGGAGAACGGCGTCGATGTTTGGTGCCAACAACAAAATGGAGATATGCCTTCGCACAAACACCCCTCACGCTCTCCCAACAGGCAAACAATCCAAGTCGTTACGAAAGAAAAACTTCATTAATATCTTAATGTCCTTTTTATCAGGATGTAATGGAGAATGCCCGAAATTAAAATGGACACTTTGAATAGTTGTTGTGGTCAATAGGCACCAGTTAAGTGGGTCACACACACTGAGGACAAGATATGTGTAGGACGTTGGGTGAAAGATGGATAAGAGGTTAGTGGAACTTTTAATTGCTTATTTCCAACTCCTTTAAGTGGAGATAATTTGAAGAAGGAAATAAATCAATTGAAGGAAACCATTGAACTTAATTCTTTCACAAATGAAAATACTTTGCGACGATGATGGCAATATGCCATATCTTTATGCCATTATTTGATAGATAATCTCAGAAAAAAGTACTTACGCAATTTCGGACGTTTGGAGCAATCAATGTTGTAGGGCAAATCACATTTCTCTTCATGGCTGCTGTAGTCATTGAAAACCATGCCATCGGCGCATAATTTCTCTGTGGGCACACCATCTCTATTTGAGCAGACACCGGAAGTCACCCAAAATGAGAAGAAATAAATAAAAAAGAAATCATTATAAATTGAGTAGTTCAAACGTACATATGTGGGCTGGTATATATTAGGATGTCCTGCAGAAATAGTATAAAAAATAATAAGGTAGAAGCTTAAAACACTATACGGAAAATTACATAAAAGAAAGAGGACATTAAGGACCATTAGCTCTGAGATAAGCAGGGGGAAGTTAGGTAAAAACTATTTAGATAAAAGCCCAGATAGAGCCCACTCAGGACCTCTGTATCTCAGATGATGCCAGACGGACTGTTATATTTGAGACTATGGTCACTCAAGTCCCCGTACAAGGTTTGATGAGGACTATTTTTTCCGAAACAAGGGCCAGAAAGGACGATAATATTTAAAATGAGGCCAAGTCAAAATCACTATCAGTCAGAAATATAGTTGCTACGATAAGGTGCGACAGTCAGGACTATTCTCTCTGAGATAATGGCCAGCTGGAATAATTTTATTTGGGACTCAGGACTATAATCTTTGTAAAAAGATCAGTCAGAACTACTTTCCCTAAGATAAGCAGTAACAAAGTTAATATGAGCCAGATATATTATCCCTGTGATGACGACCACGCGACATAGGTCAGTCAGGACAATTGTCCCTTAAATAAAGGCATTTTCTTTGAGATAAGACACATAAAACTCGCTATAACAAGAAATAATACCTCCAAGAAAATAGGCAGCTAAATCTATTATTCCCGAGGTAAAGGAGAGATTACATATAAGCCGATTATCTGTATTATATTCATAGCATACTTTAAGGCGCTCCCCAGTATTTTTAATCTAAAAGAAACAGTTTATAATCAAACCTTTTTAAAGCAAAGTAAAGTAATACACTGACTGATTAACGGACTGACTGATTGGCTGTCTGACTTAACGCCCACACGAAACGGCGGAATCTAGAATGTTCACATTTTGAGTGAGGGCCACTCTTGGTCCGGAGCTGTCAGATAAGGCTGAATTTTTGGAAATTCGTACTAGAACAGTACAAAAAGTACTAAAATGTACTAAAACTTACTAAATATGGTACCTTTTTTACCAATTGTACTGGACGAAGCAGTAGAGTTAGAACACTTATATTTGGAATTGGGCTCACTGATGGAGTGTACGATGGATATAACAAAGGGTTTTGGAAGTTCACACTATAAGTGTACAAAAATGTACTACAATCGGTACCATTTCATACCATGTGAACGCTTGAAGCAAAAAACTTGAAATTTGAAATGGGTTATCAAAGTTGGAAAGTAAGATCGATATATAACGTGGTTTTGGAAATATGCCCTAAGTGTGCGAACTGTACTAAATGGTACTAAATTTGGTATGGATTTAGCTAAATTTTGTATTGAAGTCCCAGTTGGTGGTAAGTTTGTGATAAAGATACTGTTTTGGATATGTGTACTACAAGTGCACGAAAAGTACTATATTTGGTACAATTTGGTATTGGGTGAACAAATTGAGCTTGAAATCTGAAACTTGGCAGTGGAGTCGCACACTGGAAATATGGAGGTGGTTTCGGAAATGTGTACTATAATTGTACGAAAAGTACTAAATTGTACTATATTTGGTATTGGCAGAAGGAATAAGGCTGAAATTCTCTAATTTGATATTGAGGATTCCGTTGGTATATGAATTTGAGATATGGAGGGGTCTTTGAAATATGTTCCATAATTGTTTGAAAAGTACTAAGTGGTACTAAATTGGGTATTGGGTGAAGGGATAGATCTGAAATGCCGAAATTTGATATTGAAGTCTCTGTTGGTATCTAGATAAAGTACTAAATTTAAAATTGGTTGAAACAATAGAGCTGGAATCCCGAAATTAGATATTAAGGTCTCTGTTGGTATCTTGGAGTGGGATATGGAGGTGTTTTTGAAGTTGTGTACAATAATTGTACGAAAAGTACAAAGTGGTACTCCTCAAATTTGTTAGTGGGTCTCCGTTGGTATCTGAAATTGAGATATGGAAGAGGTTTTGGAGACGAGTACTACAATTGAACGAAAAGTACCAAATGGTACTAAATTGCGTATTGGGTGAAGGAATAGAACTGAATCCTTAAATTTGATATTGAGGTCTCCTTTGATATCTGGAATTGAGATATAGAAGATGTTTTGGAAACGAGTACTACAATTGTACGAAAAGTAACAAATGGTACTAAATTTTAAATTGGGTGAATTAATATGGCTATAATCATCAAATTCGATATTGAGGTCTCCGTTGCTATCTGGAATTGAGATATTGATGTGGTTTCGGAAATGTATACTACAACTATGGGAAAAGTTCTAAGTGGTACTATCTTTGAAATTGGGTGAAGGAATGAGGCTGGAATCCTTAAATTTTATATTGAGGTTTCTTTTGTTATCCAGAATGTTTTTTGTAACTAGTACTATAATTGTACAAAAAGTACTTTATTTGGTATTGGAAGAAGGAATAGAGCTAAAATCCTGAAATTTGATACAGATGTCACTGTTGTTTTCTGTGGTTACGGAAATGTGTACTATAATTGCTCGAAAAGTACTAAGTGCTACTAAATTGGGTATTGAATGCAGGGATAGAACTGGAATCCTGAAATTTGATATTGAGGTCTTTGTTGATATCTGGAATTGGGATATTGAGGTAGTTTTGGAAACGAGTACAATACTTGTATGAAAAGTATCAAATGGTACTAAATTTGAAATAGGTTGAAAGAATAGGGCTTGAGTCCTAAGATTTGATACTGAGGTATCGAAGGTGCACATTTTCAGCTGACCTCTTTGGCAAGTAAAAACGATCATTTTGTTTGTTTACAAACTGTTGGACAACGAATGTTTTCTCATCGGAGAAAACCAACTTCGGCAGTTCGACACTTTCGGCCAAGCGAAGCAACTCTTTAGCTATTTTGAATTTATTTTCTTTCTACTGCGGTGTAAGTTCTTGCACTTTTTGGAAGTTTTCAATATTTGCCGAATGGAATATTGCGATATGTTCAGCTCACGAACCATTTTTCGGCCACTGCGTCGTGGGTTTCGATCAAGTCGCTTCTTTATTTTTCGAAGCATTTCTGCTGATGTTGCTGTTTTCTTCCGTCCAGTTCAATGCGATGGTACGAGACACAACGGATTTATTCACATTTAAATGCTGGAGTGTTCTAAGGATTGGCGGACGATTGGCTTAGAATTGACAGCAGTTGGTTGCAGTTTTTTCATCTCACCCGCAAACCGCAAAATATTCTATAAGAATTTCGATATAAACTCTAATTCTTCTTCTTGGGACTATGCCTTTCAGATGAATACCAATTAGGGCAATTATGCAGAATATTGTCAGTGCGATAATTCTCGCTTGAGACCCTTATCTTTTTCCCTCATTTGGGTTTCTCTCTAAATTGTAATTCTTCCAAAAGTCAATCAGTTAGCCCTGCGATCCCTTCCTCTCTTATAGTATATAGATATCACCCCAATATATGGTGTTCCGATGTTGCCATCCTCTAAGTGCCTTCCAATAGCTCTTCAAAAAGAACACTTAGCATTACTCGAAGAAGTTGTTTGTTTATTCTCTATTCAATGGCAGGTAACAAGTACTTAGCCATTAACCTTGCAACCCCACTTCCCCATCCTCTCCCGCTCACAACCAAACAGTCCAAATAAAATAAATACAAGAACAACAACGACCATATCTATTGACGATGCGGCCCAAAGGGCTTTAAGATAAATGAAGATTCAAAAGGTAATATAACATTTAATTGAGTGTTTCTCTTATTTAGGATTTGCCACAAGGGGAATATCCTTAATGTGTATTTTGTTTTGCGCAAAGTAACTAACTACTCCACCCTACCTTACTCCCGCATTCCTTCCACTTTTTCAAGTTTTTTTCTCTAGACAATTTCGTGCTTGATTTGTATTGGTATATATTGGTGATGGTGTTGGTGTTGCTGTGTGTGTGCTTGCGTGTTTATTTCTAATGATTGGTTTGGTACTTTTGGTTTGTCACAGGACATTAAGGAGTGTTTTGGGACACACAGCACTGCTGGCAGTAGTAGTGATTCATTTTCCATGCACACATAAATTCCCATACAAACAACAACCGCAGAGCAGAAATGATTCGCATCGAGGGAATGTGAGAATGTGTACCCCCGCAGCATGTGGAGCAAGGATGCAAGAGGTGCCTGTAATAACCTTAATTTAGTGTGTGGACCAAACCCCACCACCACCACTACTACCCTTAGTGTGTGTCGCTGCTAATGTAGTGTTAAAATAATTATTTATTTTAAGTGTCACACATATGTAATTGATATTAAATTGTGGCGGTGTCAAATGCTGTCGCCGGAGGTTGGGGGAATTGTAATTGAGATCGAAATTTATTTCCTTGAGTATTTTGGGGTGAAAGAATTTTTCTGTTAAATGGAGATTGATTGTCAGGGAATTTTAAAAATACAAAACCAATGCTATTGGAAATGTAATTACAGAAAATTCAACTATTTTCAAGGAACTAAAAGCAAGGAGTTTAAAGTTTAAAAGGTAAAATCGAGTAAAGGTCAAGTAGATATATCATATTAAAATTAACAAAAATATGGACCTTTTACTGGAAATTATTAAAAGTTCATCGTGGCCATTATCTTCGAAACAAGAAATAAAAAGGTCAGTAACAAAGGGACAGTAAGAATCATTTTACTTACACATGTGTCTGGTACCAAAAATCACCGCATAATGGTCTAACAGAGCTCTTAACTTGGACTTAAGTACCAGTCTCAAGCACAATCTTAAAATAGATATATATTAAAAAAGGCCGTAGAAGAAACTATATTACTAAAGGCTAGTTTATACATCATGTTAGAGTTGTATTTAAAGCAGCTTTTTCCGTCATTTACTTTTGCATTCTCGTGGCATACTTTTAGACACTCCCCAAAAATTACCTATATATATAAAAGAGAAGTGAAATAACTGACTGACTCATCGACAATCAACACCCAGATGAAACGGATGAATCTAGAATCTTGAAATTTTGCACTTGGTGCATAAGCGTGTGATAAGGCTGGGTTTTTGGAAATATATACTAAAAGCGTACGAAGAGTATTGAAATATACCAAAAACATTAATACCTTGAATTGGATAAAAGGAATAAGCTAGAACTCTGAAATTTGGAATAAAAGTCAGTTATGAAGTGCAGGATAGTTTTTTGGAAATTTGAACTTAATGTCAACGAAAAGTTTTGAACTGGTACTAAAATTCTACAATATTACCATTTGATATTATGTAATCGATACATTTAAAAACCTGAAATTTTGTATGAGCACCAAGATTGGAAAGAAAGTTTGGTATATGAAGGTGGTTTTGGAAATGTGTACTAGAATTGTACGAAAAGTCCTGAATAGTACTATATTTGCCATCGAGTGAAGGAAAAGAAATAAAATGCTGAAATGTTTATATCTATCTATTTTACTGATGACATCTGTGTTTGCGATTTGGCGGTGGTTTGGAAATGCGTACCATATCTGTACAAAAAGTACTGAATGGTACTACATTTGGTATTGGGTGAAGAAATAGGAATTCCAAAATTTTATATTGAAGGTATAGGGCTGGAATCCCAAAATTTTATGTTGAAGTCTCTGTTGGTGTCTGCGGTGGAAAAGGAGCTGATTTTGGATATGAGTACTATAATTCTACGAAATGTGCTAAATACTACAATATTTGGTATTGGGTGAAGAGATAGGTCTGGAATTCTCAAACTAGATGTTAGATGTCACTGTTAGTGTCTGTGGCGACATGGAGGTGGTTTTGGAAACGTGTACTAAAGTGCTAGATAGTACAAACTTTGGGATTGTACGAATTGTATAAATTGTACGAAATATGGTACTATTTACCACTTTTCGTGTACATGTAGTATACATTCCTAAAATCACCTCTTTATCACAAACCTACCACGAACAGGGATCACAATACCAACATTTAAAAAAACAGGCTTCTTCCGTTAATCCTAAAAGGAATTTTACCAAATTTAGTATTATTTTTTACAATTCTTACATTTAGTACACGTTTTCAAAACCACCCCCTATCCGTTCACATAATACCAAATGGTACCAAAGTTAGTGCATTTTGGTACTTTTAATACCAGTATTTGTTAGAATTTCGATAAAAACATTGTCTATGCAACATAACATCAAAGACTTTCATTTTAAATTTCAGTTCCTCCCCAAATAACAAAGTTAATCCTCTTTAATATTTTTCGTACTTTTTTTAAATCGTATTTCCGTACTCAAGGTAATCCTAATGGCAAAATTAGAAAGGTAGCCTCACTTCAAGAATTCAGAAGCAACCCTATTACAGTCAGCACTCGAGCGTGTCAAATGCTTCTATTACTTGACATTGACATTTATATTACGATTAATTGAATTTATATTGACAATTGAAATTGGCTTGAGTGCCAAATTTTCTTCAAACTTTGCACATGTAAATATTTGAACCAACATTACATCTGGTGTAAATATGGGCTATCTCGGCCGACTCCTGCTGGTACGTTCCCCTTAAAGGGACAATATTGGAATATTCAAACTCCGCAAACTCCTAACCACATTTCCCATATTTTTGTTGCAAAGAGCACAAAATCTCATTTCTATTATATTCTTTGTTTCAATGCAACTACAAATAACAGAAATATATTTATTTGTATTTCAACTACAAATTAAAAATTTGAAAAACCTGTAAACAGTCGTTACCTTCCTTATTCTGTCAAATTTTAAAACTTCCAACTCAATACTTTCCCCAAATACCAACTTTAGTACCAATTTAGTTTTTATTACTTATTTCCAAAACTACTTCCAAATTTCAACCATACACAAGAAGTATGCGTTCACGCAACATAAAATTTTGTACCTTTCAAAGGCTTGCTGAACGTAATTTCAATCCCAACTCTTTATACCCACCCAAATCCAAATTGTGCCAAGTGTAGTGTCATTAGGTACCGTTCCTACACGTAGTACATACTTCCTCCTTATATCAATCGTCAATTCCCAAACTTAATTCTTATACTACATGTCAAGTTTTATACAGGTCTATCCGTCTATAATTCCTATCCGTTCACATAATTCGAAATGGTACCAAATTTAGAGTTTAGCTTATCTAACGCACTAACCTTGGCGAACGTGCTGCATTTCAAATTCTGGTTTTCGCTATTTCTATTATATTACAGATCAGACCATGCCAAGTAACTATCCTATATAATGGGTTGTTGGTACCATTAACTTTAACAAAAACATTGCAAGATATATTCTTTATTTAGACCCAATATATTTCTCCGTTTATAAAGTCAACATACTCTAATTAATTAATTCTTGTAGATCACAGATTTTGTAAGCTATTAAGCTGGACCCAAATGTTCTAATATCTTTTATACTTACACACAAGCATAGTATTTATCACATTGTTCAGAATCTGGGAAGAAACCATCCGATTCAGGGCATTCTTCGGTGGGTACATAGTCTTCTTGAGGGACCGGTGGGTCGGTGGTACGTTTCGGGAAATGACGTTGTGACTTGGGATAGCTGGGGCCTGCCTTGAAGCCGGGACGCTGGGCCAATGTGCAGCCTGCAAAAATAAGAAAATCAAAAATTGGATTAGAATAAAAGGCAAAAAGTTTGAGTAGAAGTAAATAAAAACGACAATAAGTGATATAATCTGTGTAAATAATATAGGTAGGGCCTCGAAATCATTAAAAACGCTCTGGGGGAATAGTTGCAACCAAAACAAATTTTTTTATTTACAATTTTTCTCTCCGTGTCATTCTGAGGGTCACGTCATTTATTATTTATCATAACGTATATATAAAATATGACGGCAAACAAAGAAAAGAACGCAGTTTGCTCTAAAAAAACATTGAAACGTTCAAACAACAGTATGTCAGTGTGTAAAAATTTGACATATTTTGTTAGCGCTTACATTGTCATAGACTGTAGCATGTCGACATAACTCCCTTCACATTTATTTCCAAATTTATAAATTTACACTTCTAGTTTTAGAAATGCTTTCTTCTTCCTTATATATATATATATATTTTTTTTTTTTTGGTTCTGCAACCAAGTACCATGAAATCCCATGATATCATTGTGTGCAAACATTTCTTATTGCACACAAAAGCAATTTCTTGGAAATAACATGGCATCCAACGTCGACGACGGCGACGAAGAAAACGATTCGATTTTGTTGATTTTTTCTTTCCCAACATTTGAATTGGAAAGAAGTTACAGTTTGACACATTGAATTTGATTTTAAACCGTATTGACCATTTTTCAATTAAATTCTATGACATTTCAATAAAAGAAAGACTCGACACAACAAAAAGAAAACGAAGGAATGCCATAAAGTGTGTAGTACTTAAATGTGTAAACTGGAAGAGTTGATGAAGACAAAAAAAAACAATGGAGATAGAAAATTATAAATGACAGGACTATAAATTAATTTCACAATAGACATTTTAATATACTTTTTTTAACTATTGGCATTGAATAATTTTGAAATAAAGACATAAAACAATAGGGATTTTGTGGGAAAAGAATGCTGCAATATAGAAATGTAAAGTAATTTTGGGCATTCTGTGGCCAAAATGTTGAAATAAGCAGCCTGATGAATAGATAGTATTGCCTGAACCCTAAAAATAGTAGCAAGTTATTGTAATACCTCATGGATATAACCCTAACTTCACCCTGAACTTAATCCAACCTAACTTGAGTTAGGTCTTACTTTAAATCGAAGATTTTCAGCGGCAGCAGTTTAAATGCCAAACCCAAGGAATAACAAGGATTGCTATAACCCGTACTTGAGCCAGGTCTCAATCATCATTAAGGCCTTTAAAATAATAGGAAATAATGGTTCTGGCCAGCCCATTTTAGAAGTAAATTAGAAGTAATACTACAACCTTCACTTGACCCTGCGCTCAGTCGTGGTCCGCGTTGACCAGATTGGGGTGATAGTTCAGTACACAAGGACTCAACCCATCCAATGTTGGGCGGTTTAAAATAATCATCCAAGGTTTAAAATAATTTAACATCAATTTAAAAAAACCCTAAGTTGTCATATTCCGCTTATTATACGACTAACTAAATTTCTCCCGAAGGCATATCAGTATTTAATAGTTACAAGTACTCCTCTCTTTGGAATTTAATTATTTTCTCAAATATGATTTACTTGGAAGAATTTTTAAGACTTTTAGATTACATTTTTTATATGCTCCACTATGGAATGGAGGGTATATTAAATTTTTCATTCCATTTGTAACACCTCCAAATGTTCGTCATAGACCCCATTGTATATATATGCCTTCATGATCAGCATACACTTCTAAGTGAATTTAACGATGTCTGTCAGTCAGTCTGTCTGTTGAAATCACGATACAGCCCTCAACAATACGTATTGTGTCTAGGATGGTTGGTATTGAAAATTAGATATTTCGGCCCACGTTTTGTCATAGTTGCCATATAACGGTACCTCCCGATATTCAGTATTTTCATGTTTTCGCCACATTTTTTACGGATTTGTCTAAAAATTGGTATATGTAAGACATAATGGGCTCTAGTTCCAGTGGCGGAATATTGTATGTATAGGTCCACGTTTTCATATAACCCCAATTACATTATCCATGGATTCGTCTAAAAATTGGTATTTGTAGTTCTTTTGAAAACCCATTCAAAAGTGGCAGAACATTGAATAATTACTCAAATTTTTAACGGAATTGTCTGAAAATCCACACAAGGAGTTCCTCGTGGATACTTTATTACTTGATAGAGAATTATCTAAATAGGTCCAAGATATCGTATAGCCCCCATACAACGGTACCCCCCGATATTCGGTATTTTGATGATTTTAGCCGTATTTTTCAATGGGAATTGTACACATGGGGTTCTTTGTGAGCTCACTACCCCCTGACAGAGAATTCTCTATGTAGGTTAACGATATCGTATATCCCCTGTAACCCCCGATATTCGGTATTATGATGATTTTAGCCACATTTTTCAATGGTATTTTCGATATTCGGATTTTGATGATTTATAGCCACATTTTTCAGCGGAATTGTCTGAAATTCTACACAAGGAGTTCTTTGTGAGTACTTTACCCCCAGACATAGATTTGTCTATATAGGTCAATCGGCACCTTCCGATATTAGGTATTTTAAAGATTTTAACAGAATAACGGTTTTAGACCCTAGGTCTCATCATCCGTTTCAGGACATTTGGAGTATATCTAGCGATGTCCTCCTGTCTGAAGATAACTCTCGAAGGAAGTATACGATTTAGTCCAAACTTGGTATATCGTCATATTATTGTCAAATTTAGATTGAGTTCGGAGATGGGTCTTATCGGTCCACTCCTTCTGGTACCTCCCGCACAAAACGTCGAAATTTTCAAAAAATATTTTACTGCACACAAAGAGACCGGATAATTCGATTTTTCCACAACTATGCAAATCCTAATATTTCTGTTCGTGCTAGGTCAGGCGCGAAAATGGACAATATCGGTCCACTCCATCAAGTGCCTCCCCCACAAAGGGTTAACGTTTTCAATAACCAAAACGATTATAAAATCCGAAATAAACATCCGGTTCTCTTAAAATTACACACATCTCAATATTTTTATTTACCCAAGATCTGGGGTGAAGATGGGATATATTGGTCCACTGCTTCTGGTACCTCTCCCACAGAGGGTAAACATTTTGAATATCCATTAAGCTTATAAAACACAAAATTAAAATCTGATTCCATTCAGATTTGGAACATCCCAATATTACCATCAAAACGAGATCTGTTATATAGATGGTAGAGATCGGACTATTTCTTCTGGTACCTCCCCCAATAGGTTTCAAGAGGTAAACAAAATACGCATCCAATTTTTTATTCAAATTGTACACATATAAACTTTTTTGCTAACACAATATCATTTGTGATGATGAGATATATGTGCGAACCCCTTCTGGTACCTCACCCTCAAAGGGTCAGAGTTTTAAATTTCTTTATCTGTCATAACTTACGAAACAAGCCGGCGATTTTTTACAATTTTCTATATCTAAATATTTCTCTCAACCAGAAACTTGGGATGAATATGGATTTTATGATGAAGTTATCAATATAGACCACCCCAGGTTTGGTTGCAATATTTGTATCGTATTTATTTAGGTCCAATATGAAATGGACAATATTGGTCCATTCCTTCAGAACCCACTTGATAGATGGCCAAGAGTTTGAATAATCATAACAGAAGTCAAAATATATTTAAATAATCGAACATTGGCTGAGGGTATACGTCTGCCGGCAGAACCGACTGCTACTTTTTAACTTGTTAATTTTACTGTCAATTTGAACCACTTCTCTTGCACTGAACACCCAGTGTTTGGTTAACTTGACAAATTTTTATTCTTATTATATTACGAACTGGGTATCTGCTGCTTATGCAGTTAGATTTGAACAGATAAATTACAGTGAATGCAGATCTATGCCTCAATTCTTGTTCTATGGAAATGTGAAATAAAAAAAATTGTTACAGGAAATATTTTTCGTATCATAGTTTCTTTTACGAGAATCCAACCACTGATTTGAATGTCACGATTGAAGAAATAAAACAAATATGATTTTTAGTCTTTTGGAAGGAATATGCGCAACAGAGAACAAGTAAGCCTCAGTTTTCGGATTTCCTCATCCTTCTCACCCATAACACTTATTTATATTTTCATTACGTAAAAAATATATTTACGTTTAGTTTTTTACACAACGCTCTATTTTTAGGCCTTCGTTGTGTTTTAATCGCTCGAGAATTGTTGCACTTTCACTTTTTTACAGCATTATTTTTTTTAATAATTTTAATTACATTCAAAGGAATTATATTCAATTTATTTTTAAATTCCAAGCGCATGATATATTTACATCTACACCTTTCCATCCCAAAAACACCCAGGCATATATCCAATTTATACACTTCTGCATTCACTGGCTAAGAAGGAAACATGTTTCGCCTCATAAGAAGAGTATATCGACTGGCTTTGGGATATAATGAATTTATGAATGTGGGCAACGTTGTAAGTAAACCACTACAAACACAAACTGTTGCAAGGCACACACACACATGTAAATACGCACATACATCTACATTCAACCAAGTCCTTGTGGTGTTGTATATGTGTATGGCTTTACATTCACATCCTTATGCCTTTAGTTACTCATTAACTAACCTCTTGACTTGTTTGCAGACTTTAAAAGCGGCCGGAGTAGAGCAGCAAAAACCTCCGTTTCGTTAAAGAAGAAAATCGAAGTGAAAAACTCATAACCATGCATAACCACATGATGTGAGTTTAACTTGGATCTAGCCTTTACTTCCGTTTTCCTCAGCACACACACACACACACTTCAGCACACACACATTCATTCATTTAAAGGCTTTTTTGCCACTTATGTACTGTTAACGAAGCAAGGAAAATTGTAAAAAGGAAAAACTCCATTTTCCATCTATGCGGTTATTCCTCTACGTATACAGCACACACGCACACACATTTATGGATTTATCTTGAGCCGAGGTTGCCGAAATGGGCAAAAGGAGGCACGGGAG